GAATAATTAAGTAAATGAAATAATTTAAAGAAAAATTATGAAGATAGTAATAAAATAAAAAAGAGAAAGAATAGGCTACCCCAACGGCAAAAATCAATGAACAAAGTTCAGTACACTAAAGAATTAATACGCAAAACAAAAGAAGACAAAGAGACAAGCCCCCTGCCAGCAGGCAGCCAACCACAGCTTGCCCAGTGGGAGTTCAAACCTCGGTACACAAAGAATCTCGCTCAATGGAATAAAATGATACATTATTATAATGACGATAGTTTTTGTTGTTGCATTTAACTGGAGTTACAGGAACGGTTTTTGTGGTGTCTCGTGAAGGAGGGCCTCAGGGTAAGTTTGTGGTGTAGAGGTTGTTGTTACTGGCTGTTAGGGTTATAGTGTTATTTCAACAAGCTGTTTACTTCCGAGTGCATGCGTGTTTGTGTTTGTATGTGCACATGTGTGTGTATGTGTGTGTTGTGTGTGTATGTGTGTTTGTGTGTGTGTATGTATGTATGTGTGTGGGTATCTATGTGTGTGTGTCACTACGCACGTGTGTCGGTGTGTGTGTGTGTCTGTGTGTGTGTATGTGTGTGTGTGTGTGTGTGTGTGTGTGTGTGTGTATGTGTGTATGGGTCTGTGTATGTGTGAGTGGGGTTTAAAAGGCGAGTTAGTCCGTACATATTATGTATTTTTATATTATGTGAGTGTGCATAAGCGCACGTGTATGCCCGAGAGCGCGTGATACCATTACATTTTTGCACAATTGTTTAAATCTCACCCCCAGAAAGTTGAGATTGTTTCAGATTGCTATCAGGTCTGCTGGGGGTAATAATATAGATCATAATTGTAAAGCGCCTAGAGCTTGCTGTTGAACCGGAATTTGCGCTCTACAGCTGCTATCTATTAATATTATCATCCTTGATCGCTCATAACCATTTCATAGCGTATCAGTCTGTGAATAGGATCTAGACACAGCACCGTTCTGAGGGTGTTTTTTGATCTCAGTCAGGGTGTATACAGCTAAAGTAAAGGCAGAGCTGTTTCTTTTACTTTTGGTAAGCAAACGTTGCTTTCATTCCTTTTGTAGATTTTGCTTTTATCATCATTATTATTATTGTTGGTATTATATTAGTAGTAGTAGTAGTAGTAGTAGTAGTAGTAGTAGTAGTAGTAGTAGTAGTAGTAGCAGCAGCAGCAGCAGCAGCAGCAGCAGCAGTAGTAGTAGTAGTAGTAGTAGTAGTAGTAGTATTACTATCATTTATCATCGAAAATTATTTATTTATTTATTTTTTAAAAATATTATTATTATTATTATTATTATTATTATTATTATTATCATTAATATTATTATCATCATCATCATCATCATCATATTGTTATTATTATTATTATCATTAATATTATTATCATCATCATCATATTATTATTATTATTTTTATTATTGTTATTATTATTATTATTATCATATTATTATTATTATTATATCATATTATTATTATTATTATTATTATTATTATTATTATTATTACTATTGTTTCCTATCGGGCACAAACAATTATATATTGACAACATTTTAAAATGCTATAGTTCGATAAATAGCTGGTTTATCTTAAAACGTTCTCAATACTTTCTAAAAATTGGTGTTGATTGGCAACGGTGTTTGGCGACACAACACCCCATCTTCCATGAACCACTGCTGCTGCTGCTGCTGCTGCTGTTGCATAATAAGCTGTTTGGCATCGGTTCCGCAAATGAGACAGAATATTTCGCCTGTCTTATTGGTGGGTAGTTACGCCTGGTTGGCTACTTTATCGTCTCCCATCTCAACAACATCGACTGTGGTTCTTTTCCATTCAGCCAGCCTAGAAAATGTGCTAGAATTGCAGCTGAAGATTCTAGCAGCTTCCCAGTCACATTCCTGATTTCAGAGGGCCAATACGAGCGTCTTGTTGTGGTCAACTGTGCTAAATCTAGACCATAGACCTATTATAAACTAATTATAGGTCTATGATCTAGACATACTGTTTGGGCGAGACAGAGCAAACAGTTTTTAAAAAATTATGTTCTTTATTTTAACAAGCGAGCTTCAAGTCCATGTCATTCATTTTTTCTTAATTTTATTCACCAATATGGTCTCACCATGTAAAAGGCCCTATTTGCATTATTTGAAGTTTTTTATCTGGCTCATTTAAAGGGAAACAATCACAAAAAACCCTGTGAGCACATTTTAGCGATAGGCAAATCAAATAAAAAGGAAATCAACAACAAAAGAATTCGCAGAGTATAACAAATTCGTGATTGAAAAGTGTTGCTGTGCACCGACTGGACTTATATTCCTCTCCGGAATAGCGGTACGCCTCTCCAGTTTGACACTCGTGACGTCATAGCTAAGACCTCTAACTCTATTTATAACCTCTTAGCAAGGACTCGACTTTTACACTATACGACTTGATGGAAAAGTGCCTACTACTATATAGCTACATGACTGCGGATCAACTTTGCGATGTGTGTGTGTGTGTGTGTGTGTGTGTGTGTGTGTGTGTGTGTGTGTGTGTGTGTGTGTGTGTGTGCGCGCGTGTGTTTTGGTTGGGATTTGTGTGTGTGTGTGCGTTATCATAATTTTAAAATAGTATTCCATCTCTGAGCCTTTGGGTTAGAATCATTTGGAGTTAGTTTATTAGCATATCTTGATGATGACCTCAATATAACATTGTTATTGTGTTTTGATTCCTAGCCTTAAGTTGTTTTCATCTACTATGATGTGATCTTTGCATGAGGAAATACAACTTTGTACAATCGGGCACAGTGACTTACAGCAAATTACTCTCCATTCATTCTACAGACAATGTATCAAGACCAATAACGTCAAATTAGACAAAGTGAGTGACGACATACAACAACAGCAGCAGCAGCAGCAGCAACTAGAAATATAGATAACACCAGCTCAACATCATCATTAACAACAAGAGACACAGTGGCTTCTATGAGCAATAAGTAGCACACACGGACACCATGTCGGTCATTTCGCTGTGGCGAAAAACAAGACAGGCAGACAGATAGAAACAGAAGAGGGAGACCTACCAGTGGCGCACTCCAGCCACCACAGCAATAGTTTCAACAAGGCAGAGAGAGAGAGAGAGAGAGAGAGAGAGAGAGAGAGAGAGAGAGAGAGAGAGAGAGACAAAGAGAGAGAGAGACGGAGAGAGATGGAAAGAGACAGAGAGAAAAATAGAGAAAGAGAGAGAGAAAGAGAGTGAGAGTTTGTGGGTGTGTGTGACAGAGAGAGAGAAAGAGGGAGACAAACACAGAGAGAGACAGAGAGAGAGAGAGAGAGAGAGAGAGAGAGAGAGAGAAAGAGAGAGAGAGAGAGAGAGAGAGAGAGAGAGAAAGAGAGACAGAGACAGAGACAGAGACAGAGACAGAGAGAGAAAAAGAAAGAAAAGAAGGAAAGTGAAGACGTAGAATTTACCAGTGGAGCCTTCCAGCCACCCCTACAACAGTTCCAACTTTAACAACAGATGTTCTCCTTAAGAGACCAGACCGACGCGCTGACTCTCAACCAGTCTCTGTCTCACGATGACCCCCAGTGGTCCTCCCAGTCCTCAGCAGCTGCCACCACCACAAACAGATCTGTGCTGTCTTTCGACGAAGGATTAATTGAGGACTTTCCCATTTACGAGGCCGGACTTTTCCTCAACCGCATCTACCTATGGGTGGTTTTCGCTCTTGGTTTCCCTGGCAACGTCTTTGCTATCGCAACTTCCCTAACCTTGACCCCTCGCTACCGCAGCTCGTATTATGTGGCGACCTTGGCCTTTGTGGACAACGTTTGTCTCATTTGTAAACTTCTGTTCATGACCTTGACCCGTTATGACGTCAAACTGGGAGATGTCGGGTGCGGTATGCTGGAGACTCTGGGTAATGCTACAGGGCAGCAGGCGAACTGGTTACTGGTTGCCATGACTACGGAGAGGTGCATTGCTGTGACGTCACCTTTTCTGAGTCGACGGATTCGTGCAAGGTGAGATAAGGTACGGCGCTCAGTCTATCTGTTGTTTTTACGATCTTCAAGGTTTCCTAAGTTGTCTGTTTAACTAACTGTCTCTCTTTCCGTGCCTTATTGCGTGTTTCTATGTCTGTCTATTCCCATTTCTCACACATACATAATATGCAAATTAAAAACAAAAATCCTTTCGATTTTGACAGTTGTTGCCCCAACTCTCTCTCTCTCTCTCTCTCTCTCTCTCTCTCTCTCTCTCTCTCTCTCTCTCTCTCTCTCTCTCTCTCTCTCTCTTCTCTCTCTCTCTCTCTCTCTCTTTCTCCTTCTCTCTCCCTCTCTCTCTCTTCCTTTATCTATCTATCTATCTATCTATCTATCTATCTATCTATCTATCTATCTATCTATCTATCTATCTATCTATCTATCTATCTATCTATCTATCTATCTATCTATCTATCTATCTATCTATCTATCTATCTATTTGAATATATGGAGGGTGCTACTGATAGGTCCTATACGTCCTCTCATACTCAGTCACTTTACGGTGGCTGTTTTTGTTGAAAGTGGTTTGATTTAGTCAACCGTTGTTATCTCTGCTGCTTTATTGGGTTTCCTTGAACAAAGATAACAAAAATGCATGCTTATTAATTTGGGCTTGGCTTTGTTAGGCCAATATGTGTTGATTACGTTGCAAAACAACTACACACACAGAATAGAAGAAGCTCTTGTGGGCATAACTAAGACTAAGAGATTTTGTGATGTTGGGCATTCGAAGGGTCTAAAATGTCTGTGTCTGGGGCAAATTGGAGCAGCGAGGTCTGGAAAAGGAAGCGTTTGAAAGCAACAAAGGACATAATGACAGCCCTGCATGTTCTTTAATTCGACCAATCAGTAAGGTTATTCCTCCTTTGATCGTAACCAGTTTTATCATCCAAGTTTTCGGCATCACTAATTTGCCTATAACCCTGCTCCTTTTTAGCCCATAGGTATAAAATAAGAAATAGAAACAAGAACTATGAAGGCAAATGCAGTGACCTACAAACTAGTACCCCTGCTCAGTCACAAGGACATCTCAACCGAAGTGAAATCTAAACTCACCAATAGCATCTTCATACCAATATTAACGTACCCGTGCCAAATATGGTCTCTAAACAAGACAAAAGAAAAAAAAACCAATTCATGCAAAATGGGGTGTCTCCACAAAACCATTAACGTCACCAGAAGAGACCGCATAAGGAACGAGACCATACGCCTATAAAAGTTAAAACCACCAGTAATAACATTTCATAGAGAGTCAAAGAGCCAAATGGTTTGGACATCTAACCACAATGCCCCAGAAACAGCTAGCGGCTTGAGCTTACCATATCCATGATTCTGGCTTAAAATCAAGAGGAAGACCAAGAAAGACCTGGCTGGACGGGGTTAAAAAAGGCCCTGGAACGACCTAACATAATATCTTTCGCTACACACCTAACACAGGACCGAACCCTGCACCTCCCCTAGACATCCTAAGTCTACCAGAGAGAGGAAAAAAATAGAAGTAAAGTATGTATAAAATAAGCACCAAATTGAACTGGAAAGAATGCCACATGCAATAAATATACAATATTTTGATTATAGAGAGCAGGGACTGTCTGGGCTTTGACAGATA